GTGGGGGGTTAGAAGGAAGATGATTCTCAATGAAGAGGATTTGAGAAGAAGATGAATCGACAAAATTTTTGGGATTTCTAGATTGATCAATAGATTATTTAAGGGCGTGTTTGTGGAGTAAATTAAGTTATCTAAACTCTATTATCCTTTTTTTAGTTATCATGTTTTATTTTTAATGATTTTATAGTAGTTATTGAAAAAAATATTACAAAGTATTGTTTATACATTTATTAAAAATAAGGTATGTTGCGTAATTTCCACTTCAAAACTACATTATCTTATAAAACTATTTGGGCCAGCCTTCAAAAATAGGGCTTGGGAGGTAATTTTAGCCCGCCCCATCGAGGAAAATGGGTGGCCCATAAATTCGCTTCTCTTGCTACAAATTGTATTCCATTTTTCTTGTCGTGTGCAGTTTGCGACGATCACCTTGAATAAGAGTTTATGGTTCGATATTCAAAAACACAAAAATGCCATTTAGATAGTTAAAAAGAAGATTATTACTTAGCCAAATTCATATGGTGTGCTCAAACAAGCCACCATCTTGCGGAACATATTAAGGGTAAAAATATCACATCGATTAATTATAAAAACACTAATCAACATTCTATTTTAGGACTACTGTTAAGCAAGATTCTGAGTATAATCTACCTAACCTCCTGTATGGAGCTTGTTCAGCCTAGCTTAAAGATTTGTTTGTGTACAAACCATTTTGGCAAGGCCATGAGTAGGTGAGATTATCCCTTTGTATCCTTCTTCAAGACTCCCCTAACCTGTCCAAATTGATAATGAACTTAGAAAAGTAGCTTACATGACGCATAACGAGGGATTGTTAAACTTAGAATCGAAAATTTTCTCTTCGACTACCAATCTGTTAAATTGTTTTTAGTTATGAAAAAGGAGAAATTTCATCGACAACTCGGAAAGTGTACACCTCGTGTCCTTATCTTTAACGGTTACTTTGTCGAAATTGTATTGGCCATGCATATGTTATTTGCATAGTCTACGTTGTCTCTAGCTGTCTCAATCTCCTGATTTCCTCCTTATGAATATTTACTATAATATTAGCCAATTTGCCCTTCAGTTTGACTCTTTCATACCAGCACAGCACATGATTTTTTTTTTCCCCTCTGATAGATACAGATTTGGGGTGTTTCTATGATACAAACAAGAAGGCCTGCATTAGTGATATCAAAATTATATTATGATCAACGGCGTACAAAACTGTGTTTGGACTTTAGCAGTGTGTCAACTAGTGTTGCTGGTAGATGCCTCCTCTTCATGTCAATGATATAAGGAATTATTCCTTCTTGATCTTGAAGTTTTCTAGGAAGCAAGTGTGAGCTTTGCAGAACTGTTGTGTGTACAATTTTATCTAAAACATTAGAAGGAGGACGAGACGAATATCTGGCTACATGAAGCAGACTCCAAGAAGTGATGAAGGCGTGTGCAGCAGAAGGAAGGCGTTGTCAAGGGGGCACCACAAGTTTGTGGGCGTTCGCCAAAGACCATCCGGAAGATGGGTGGCTGAAATCAAAGCCTCCCCACAAAAGGTAAGGCTTTGGCTTGGGACTTTTGACACAGCAGAAGATGCAGCTCGAGCCTATGATAGTGCTGCTCGTCAACTCAGAGGTGCGAACGCACGCACCAACTTTGAATTGCCATCTGATTCTACTATGCTTGAGCCATTTTCCTTTGACACAATGTGTAGCAGTAGGACCGAAGAGTCTGAAGGACTAATTGGTGCGCTCAAGGCCAAGCTTTTTAAACAAAAGGCCTCCCAGACGATGCTCAATCAAGACAGTCCATCTTCTGACATGCAATTTAGCTTTACCGGAATTTCTCTTCCAAATTTGTCGAAAAGTAGACAATCATCTGCCACAATGCCTGCTGTCAATCCAATTCTACATTGCAGTTCTCCTGGAGCAGCTGCTATGTCTACTCAGTTACAATCTACTCATCATCATAATCACAGGCATGATCAAATTGAATCCCTCAGAGGGCAGGAGTGTCAACTAGGCATGACTCCGGCATGGCCTACTGAGAATAAATTGCCATGGGGATCAGAGATGAGTCTTGTTCAAGAGGATCCCTCCTTGATCAATACTACCAAAAATGGTGCATGGCCATCGTCGCACATAAGTCAAGCAGCTCTTGATTTGTCGTTCACGAGTAATCCCTTAGGCGAAATGCTTAGAAACGACAAGAGAAAAGTGGATGCTGTACAAGTTAATGGATCAACATCTTGGGTTTCTCCGATGGACCAGAATGTATACTATGAAAACAACAATTGGATTAATGGTGCTAATGTTATCTGGGATTCTGATCTATATGTACATTCGGTTCTTGGATGATAAAACACATGGAATATTTTAGCTTTTTAATGACAATTATATTTATAACCCCTAGTAACTGGATTCTTTGTTAGCACATAAGCAAAAAATAAATGACCAAGTCCAGGTTCAGACTACAAACCGGGCTAATACGTAAAAAAAATAAATTTACACATAAAAATTTTTTTTTACAAATTTTTTTTTTTTTTTTATTATTTTTTACACTAAAAAGAAGGGGCTGGGGACTGCTTTTTGGGCATTAAGGATGTGTTTGATCCACATTATTTTGGAAGAATGTATTCTGGAATAGTAGATTGATTTGAAAAAGAAGGAAAAGTTATTGATGTGATGGAAAATACCATTTTATTGAAGAATGTGTGGTTAAAAATGAGTAGAAAAAATTTTAATGTGTACCAAACATGGGCTAAGTTATGAATTTTGATATAGAAAAATTTAAGAATTTCAATGGTATAATTTTTATTTTATTTTTTTTTATCACGAGTTACTGGTCAAATGATTATTTTTCAATTTTATAATCATTTTAAATCGTATCCAGATTCTACGATTTTTGGACAGTGTTAGAGCATCTCCAAGATGCTCTATATTTTAAAGAGTCAACATTTAAAATCATGGTCCAAGAGATTCTATAAATTAACATTTTAATTTAGAGAGTGTTGGAGAGTCAAACTCACTCTTTATAATGAAATGCATTCAAAGTATTTCAATTTTCAATGTAGAAAAATAATAAAATAATCTAAAGAAAAACTATTTAAAATAAAAGATAAAGAAAAATAATAAATATTTTTTAGGAGTAGTAAAATTAAGTGTTAAATATAAGAGCTATGCTACATGTACATAATTGTATCCACACCCTCACATGGAGGGGGACCCACTTCAGATATATTATATTTTATCCGAAGTGGGTCCCCCTCCATGTGAGGGTGCGGACGCCATTATGTATAATGGATTATGTACAAGTAGTATAATTCTAAATATAAAGAGTTTGTTGGAGTACTTCAAAATTTATCCGCTCTTTTTCCTCACAACATTCTGTAAACATTTAAATAAATTTTCACCATATTCAAAAAAGTGGTTAGGAAAAATGTGTTGAGCGATCACTAGGAATGGGAGTGAGAGCCCCTTTACCCAAAATAGTAGAGAATAGGGTTGGACAAAAATTCTAAACCGAATCGAACAGAATCTCTCTACTTTTTTAAATATTTTTATCTTAAATAAGTCAAATTATTTTATTTTTTCTAAATAAATTTATTAACTGATTAATTTAGCCCAAACCTAAAATATGATTTTACTATTTCTAATTTCCATCCAAATCCAACTTAATCAAATTAACCTAAATTTTACCAAAATCTCTTATTTTGCCGTAATATCATTTCTGTCGTTCTATTATTGTGAACTCGTCATTTTTCTCTTCCTCTGATTTTAACAGTTAAATATATGAACTCAATAAAGAGAGGCGCAAAAGATATCAAGAGATTGGACTACGTTATTTTGTAAGAGTTAAGATTGAACATGTCATAATCGAATTAATATAGCGTTGTTGTAAATATAAAAAAAAATTAATTATTGCACGAATTCAAAAGCGAAATATAACCGAATCGAACTGAACCGAATGAAACCGAATCCTAATGGTTCTATAATTAAATTTAGACCCAACAGTTCCATTTATTAAATACCTGAAAATTTGGGTTCGATTCGGTTCTCTCTAAAATCCGAACCGAACCGAATCATATTCAGCATTAATGAGGAATCAATCGAAAGGAGTTGCTCCCATATCATGCATTGGTTAACCTAATGCATGAGATGGCAGCTGATCTAATCGCACCTCAGCCCTCCATATATGTGCTAAAGGAAGCTCTTCACTTCCCTTTTCTCCTCTCTTTAGATATTTGATACAATATAATATGTATTGCTGTAACATGTCCTCAACCTTTCTTAGATTACAATGAATTAATTTTGACAGAGAAAAGAGATCCGCGTGTTGCCTTTCTCTTTATTTAGTTAGTAGAGATACGGCTGGCAAAACTCCGAACCCGAATCGAATTGAATCGAACCGAATCGAGGATTCTTCATAAGTTAAATGCTCGAACGGATATTTGAATCGAGAACCGACGTGTTTGGTTCGGTTCGGATCTCGATTCTAAACCCAAAACTGAAGAACCGAATTTAAATAATTTTTTATATTGAATTAATTAAATATTTTTAATTTTTTCTAAACACATTAGCCAATTAACTAATTTAATTATTAATGTTCTAACTTCTAAGTCAAATCTATGCCTAGCAACCCAACCCAATTTCTAAATTCAATTTTTTGGTCCAATTATTAATTTCATTATTCGCCCAAGATCTATGCCTTTTTAAGTTTTTATCCGTCTCTTTTCAATTTCACACTTTCATTCGGTAACCACTCAATCATTGAGCTCAAATCATTTGATAAATTGAAAATCTACATCCACATACCTCAATCAAAGTCACTGACTGCCCAGTCCGACTTCTCCTCTCCAACTGCTCATCGAAGCCGCGACCTCCAACCACGACCACAGATAGTTGACCAGTAGAAATCCGTTAAAAAAATTTAATTATGGTACGGAATCGATCCGAACGAAACCGAACCCGAACGATTCCATAATTATATTTGGGATCCGACGGTTCCATTTATTAAATACCCGAAAATTTTAATTCGATTCGATTCGATTCGGTTCTCTGACCATGTCCAGCTCTAAGTAGAGAACTAATTCCTCCCGATCTACAATTTGGACGTTAGTTCTTGATGTCATCCTCGTCTCGTTTTCTTTCTCTTTATTCAGTTAGTAGAGGATTAATTCTTCCTGATCTACAATTTGGACATGAGTTCTTGATGACAATCTCGCCTAGTATTTTTCAACCACTGTCCACGGGAAATCTTTCTCGTTAGTCGGCGAGCAAATGATTAATTCTTCCTTATCTACAATTTAGACGTTAGTTCTTGATGACAATCTTGCCTTGCATATTTCAACTACCTCATTAATTTATGTAGAATCATGCCACTCCATAAAAAATTATCATTGTTTTCTTTTTTATATTATCATACATGACTTGTTATTAAATTTTGTCATATCTATTATCTATTTAATATACATGCTATATTACCCCTTCGGAGGTGGTCGAGTTGGTGGGGCAGGTGATCGCCGATACCAAAAGTCACGAGTTCGAAACCCCTGTCAACACTTTCTCGATCGAACCCGTCGAATCGAGCTTGTCTAGTGCGGTTTACCTCTCATGTGTGGTTTGCAGGCTACATCATATAGAGCGGGATTTACCTAGCGCACACTCATAGTGGTCAGGATTCCGCCCATTCGGGGTGGTCGGGGCTCCGCTGGCGGGTAGCGGCTGCGGGTTCTTACGTAAAAAATAATAATATACATGCTATATTTGAAGAAACAATTGCCTAACTTGATGGTGAATGAGAGAACCAATGTGAGGGTTTATTTGAATACGTTTAAGTTTAAAAAGTGAATTTTAAACGAATTACTAAATGTTGATGTTGTAATTGATGACAAAAATAAAATAACTATTATGGTGGTTTCATTGCCAAAGTCATATGAAACGTTATTGACCCACATTGTTAGTTAGGAAAACCTTGTTGAGGCTGAGCAAGGTCTTTGGTGCTATATTGTGGTAAATGTGCATCGCTATGAAAGAATTATGATGAAAATGGACGATCATTTTCAATCTTGTCAAAAGAGAGACGTGAAATGTTACTAAAGTCACAAAAAATGGACGTTAGGAGAAATTGTGAGGAATTGACGAATAATCTTGAAGCAATGAAAAGTCAAAAAATTAGGAAGTTTCAAATTGTACAAATGTTGTTGACGATGACTTTGATGGAGATGGCCTTTATATCTTCCAGAAGGTCCATTGGGAGGGCTCAAAAATACTTATTTTTTAAAAATAAATAAATATAAAATGTGAGAAAATGCTTTTCCTCATTTCAAAGAATGCAAAAAAAGAAATATTTTGATAGAAATTATCATCAATGTCAAGATATATTTATCGATGGAGGTTTGAAGTTACGATTTCGATAAAAAATAGTTAGAGACATAAGTGTTATGATTAAAAGCCTTAACCAAAATTAAAATGTGCTTCATGATAAGAATTATAGTGCAGCTATAACCACCC